TGAAGTCAGACGCTTAACTGACTGAGCCACCTAGGTGCCCCTGTTTTTTTTCTCTTTTAAACGTAGTTCTTAAATAGTCTGTTCTTTTGTTTTAATTTTTTTTAATGTTTATTTTTGAGAGAGAGAGAGGGAGAGAGAGAATGAGTGGGGAGGGTCAGAGAGAGAGTGAGGCACAGAATCCGAAGCAGGCTCCAGCCTGAGCTGTAGCACAGAGCCCGATGCGGGGCTCAAACCCATGAACCTTGAGATCATGACTTCAGCTGAAACCAAGAGTCGGACGCTTAACCACCCAGGCGCCCCACCGCACTGTCTCATTCCGTTTTGTTTTCTCATTGTTTGGGTCCCTACATAGATTCAGGTTTATTTCTCATGGTTTATGTTTCACCTTAAAGCAAAAGCGCATGGAGTTCTTTGCCTTTGTGTCTGTGTTCTTGCCTTGCTGTCGGCTTCGGCCTGGTGTTGCCTCATTAGGTGTTGTTTGTATATTTCAGCGACTGTCTTTAGTTCCCTCAGGAGGAATAGTTGTCTGGACGGTCTGGTAGGTTAACATCAGAAGTGATAGTTGAAAGTGTGTGCGCCCCTTGGTCCAGTGCGTACCTCTGCTAAAAATACAGAGCTGGACGTGGCCGAGCGTCGATTGCTTCATTGCTAATCTGTGGGGAGCCTCGGAGGTCTCATGAATGTCAGCGGACAGGGATTGGCGATTTTGCCTGTGCAGCAGAGCACAGTGCGGTCCAGTAGAAGCACGAAGGAGCCGTGTGCGTGTTACTGTGCAGAGACCTCCATCAGCTCGTATTTCCCTTTGCGGAGGCGCGTTCGTTCTCAGATGACTGTGTGATGCGATCCTTCTTGTTACGCCTGTATGGCCTGACCTGGGGCACGCCGCCTGCCACTCCTGGAGCGTGCCACACGGGATTGCCGCTCCTGGAAAGTAGCGAGGTTATGATTGAATGCCTGCAGTTGGAGGCATCTGCTCTAGTAACTTTTGATTTGGATTAAGATTTGGAACTGTTTGCTTTCTCTGTCCCTGGCATCTTAATGCCTTTGGAACTTTTCACCAGGCAGTTACATAAATTATAGCTTTGGCTGTATTCCAAGGATTCATTCAACAACCAGTGTTTATCAAGGTGTGTGCCAGGGACTGTGTGAGGCCTGGGACTATGGTAAGTAGTAAGACCCGGTCCCTCCCCTCGCAGAGATTATCATTTAATCATGTAGTTACGCAGATTCATGCTTGTGGAGGTGAGTGCTCTGAAAGACAGCTGTATGGGGGCCTGAGACCAGGGTTTCTGACTTGAGCTGGGGTATCGGGAAAGTTAACAGTTGGGCTTAGAGCTGACGGATGATAGACGTTACCAGGCAGCATGGGGATCAGGGAGGAGGGAACGTGCGCCGGGGGTCTGTGGCGGACGAAACCCTGGTGCCCCAGACTTGAAATGGGCGTTGTTGTCGGAGAATCGAGAGTGGGGTTGGGCAGGCCTGGGCACAGACAGTTGTAGGCTGGATAATAGGCCCCCCCGAAGAGGTCCGATCCTAAGCCCCAGAACCTGTGACTGTGTTAGCTCACAGGAGAAAGAATCCTTGCAACTGTGATTAAGTCACAGTCAAATGGCGAGGGGGAGACTGTCCCGGCGGGCCCTGTGTGATCACAGGGTTCTTACAAGAGGGGGCAGGAGGGTCGCAATCAGTAGGAGGAGATGTGACTGTGGAAGCCATAGGTTGGAGTGATGTGGCTTAGTGAAGAGAAACTAGCGGTTTCTAGTTTTTTTCCAGTTCACGTAAAAACATTTTAATGTTAATAACTCAGAGTAAAAAGATAACAGGAAATAAAAATAGCGAATTGTGAGGTTGAGGTATTTCTCACGGCACTTTTGGATTATACTTTGTCATATATAGTTTGCTGATATGCCCTGAATTATCCATTTTGTTTTCTTAGAACTTAATCATGATGCTTTGCCTGGTCACCTCCCTTTGTTGCTGATGTACAGATGAGAGAGCCTTGTGGCCACGAACATCTCCCTGTTTGGTTTCCTGTCCCCTGTGGCGGTGGACGTGGAGGCAGGACTTGATTTGTGCCGGGTGTGCTTCAGCCAGTGACCTAGAAACGTCCAGCCGTGTTTGTGTTCCGTGGAGGAAGGCGTAGGGTTTGGACGGTAGAGTTAAGACTTTCAGAATTCTCTTCTTGTACAGCTTCTGTCTTTAAGTAACAACCTTCAAAATGCACGTAATCGGGGCGCCTGGGTGGCGCAGTCGGTTAAGCGTCCGACTTCAGCCAGGTCACGATCTCGCGGTCTGTGAGTTCGAGCCCCGCGTCGGGCTCTGGGCTGAGGGCTCAGAGCCTGGAGCCTGTTTCCGATTCTGTGTCTCCCTCTCTCTCTGCCCCTCCTCCGTTCATGCTCTGTCTCTCTCTGTCCCAAAAATAAATAAACGTTGAAAAAAAAAATTTTTAAAAAAATTAA